TGCCGGGTATGGAAACAGAGATGGCCAGGGGCCAGGAGGCGGTGAGAAGACCGCCAGAGGCCAAAGAGGGGGAGAGAGACCCGTTGGTAGAAATGTTGATATGGGCGGGAAGGCAATGACGGCTTTATCTTTTCATTTAGTTACTTTCCATACTATCAGGGGACGACGGCGGGGCAGTTTCCTTCGATATTTCCTTTACACTTTCCTATGTAATTAATCTCACCATAGCCCGTCGGGCGGCATGTGAGTAATGATAAAAAAATATATATATATATATATAGGAATAGAGCAGGTACCTCTATTGGTATGATGTCTGAAAGGTCGTGGCACCGATACGTACTATGCCGCGATAGTTGTATACGTCATACGAATAGCCGATCTCCGTTTACGAATGCTATGGAGATCCAATAAGACAAGCTCAAACGCATATTTTAATACTGTTCGCTTCTCTCCAATCAAGATCTCAATCGCATATACATTGCACCAATAGCAAATCGCTTGAATGTACAGTAAGTAGGATGATTGATATTGAGGCCTTCCATTTGTATAGCGCAGATCTTACTGTGTATCACATCTTCAGAAGATTCCGCAGTCAGCATGCATGCATTAAACGGCCAATCTCGAGAATAGAACATCGTGGATGGTGCCATGTATCTCCATACAGAAATTATTTCCGGACCTCTCAATGAATCTTCAGAAGGCAGGGAAGGCAATTGTTCATTTGCCAAGCTTTTGCACTACAATATTGTTGAAATTACTAATTGGTCGCACTCAAGATCATCGCCAATCGGCGACTAGTTCGTATTGCGGCTCGTAGCATACTTTCTACCATCTTTCTCAACTGTCAACTGATCGCGCAAATGAATAACATACAGGCTGCTGCGACCATTTATTTGTTGAATTGTCATTGTTCCCTTTGCGAATACCTTGACCAAGCTAGGTCTGTGTCAAAGGTAATCTTTCGCTCATGATAGAGTCGAAATGGTACCAACGCTTCACCCACTTGGTGCAACATCACTCACTACAATAGCGAAAGAACATGGGGTCTACATAGATGGAACCTAGTACCCGAAAGGTGTATGCATTGGTCCGAACATCATCGCCTAACTTCCTTGGAGCCTCTGACATCGTAGGCACCCAATCCCCTACAATGCTTTATTGAGTCTAAGAACGGTTCTAAGCATGAGCGCGGTATTCTACATAGCTGGATATTGCACCCGATCGGGTACAATCGCAGCGAATAAACAGAGTGGGAGAGCTAGGCGCAGTAAGCGACACCACCAGCTTGCATGTGCGAGCATTAGGCAATATACGACGTGAACATATGTGAAAAATTACTGCCATTGGGGTTTAGTTTACAGAAAGCAACCGAACTAGCTAATGAAGTACAATTAGACAATGGTTTAGAACTGGGACCACTTGCGGCCCCGCACCTTATTGGTTGCAACCACGTGCATGTCTTGGCTGCGGGGTACAATTAACTTTTAAAGTGGATCCTATTTTTACTTCCGTCAAATCTAATTAGAACAATGGAATGTGACAGGAACAAAAAACTTGCGGTGACAGGCGATAGCGTGAGTCAGGTTTCCCAAAGGTATCTTCCGAGTTCGCATAGTGGAATCAAAGAGCTCTTGCTCGGGGTAGTTCTCATGGCGGTGTGAGATTCGGATTCCCTGAAGGGTTGAGTACCCGGTGTATCACTTGTGCTACCTCGCCTTGCGCAAGGCGTATAAAACCAATTGCAGAGAACATGATCATCCAGTTGGCGTTTGCAACACTTGTAAAACTACATCCTCTAGCTAGTCAGTGAGTAAGCCTAGCCTAAGTCCAGGCTGACAGCTCTCTTGGCGGCGGTCGCACAGACTGAAACCTATGATACAAAGAATGTCGCTGTGGAGAATCTTTGTTCAGTCCAATCGTGCATGGCATATGCAGTTATCTGCAGTCATCAGCCCCCAACGCAGAGCGACCACCCCATGTGCCATGTAGGGTAACTCATGGCACGGATCAATGATGCAAGAAAAGGTATTGAAGGAAAATGCGGACGCTCAATAGAAATACACCTATGAGATTATGACAAACTCAGTTGTTTGCAACCGGTGAATCAAGGAGATCGAAAGGTCAAGATCAAGTTATCGACTTCACATTTTAATCCGAGGCGTTAACGTTCGCGGAAGAGCTCCAGAAATTTCTGCCACGCTGGGCAAGGAGTTTCTCGTACACATGCCTTACCGTATACCAAAAAATATTATGTAAGGCAAAACAGGCATTTCCTTCTTTAGTCAATATTTCGGATAAATGTGAGGTGTAACCCGGGAACATGCCCTCGATCAAGCGTTAACATGTGTAACGTTAACCACAATCTATCTAGACGAATCGGGAAAATGTATACCTCCAACTATTTATGACCGTTCAAATGCTTGAGCCGATTGTGAGCGACCATTGGACAAGCGCCGCAATGGGAAATGGATTGATCAATGAATCGGGCTACAGGTGTGGCTTGGTTGCAACCGGGCGATCATATGCCACTCAACTGGAATCCGTTGGTACGCCCAGAGCGCAGCGTAGAATGGTGTGGTGATGGACCTGAACTTTTGTCTACGCATGAATTGGACAAACCTTCTGGCCGTCGCCTGACTGGTGATTTTTCTTGCCTTGAGCCATACAAAATCCCAAATCTCTACTGATGCTATTCGGCGAATGTAACACTTCCACGAACGGCATCGGTGCGGATAGCTCAATTAGGTACATCGTATTCTAATCACACAACTGAATGCGACCAGTAAACCTCTCCACCTTGACATGTTTGACCTCGTTTCTAAAATGAGCTAGGTTATAAACAATGAAGGTAACACAAGGCCACTACATAACATCATTCAGTTGTGCACGAGCTTCTATTCATAGCAACTCATCCCGTTCGCATAGATATTCAATGACAATCGAGATCCATCTTCAACATCCACAGTGTTTTTCCTACACATTATATTGCTGCTGAGTGATTTATGCTGTTCGCAACCACGTAAATATTACTTGGCTGGGCCTGGCTTCGAGAAGGGGTCGATGTAGTTGGCTCAGGTGGTCCGCAGAATTCGTTGCGTCAGTCCTCGCACCGCTAGATAGTACCTCCGTAATATTGAACTCATTGACTCTAAATACAGACCTCACATTGGCACTCTTACACGCACCACTCAGGTAGCTTTCCCGCTCCGAGGAGCTGGATCCGCTCTTAGCCCGTTGGCCTCACTACTGCCTTGTGGTAGTACAAAGTCCCCGCATTCGAACATCGAGGCTAAGCAGAGCTATGACCAGAGTTGAGCCCAAGCACTACTCAGGAGCGTGTGACTCAATTGGGCTAGCCTTAGGCGATGGAATGCATGTCTAGTTAAAGTACCACTTAGCAACAGGGCGAGAGCTCTGAGGCTGTGGATGAGTTCATGCAACCCAATGCGGTATATTCAAGCCTGGATTTGCTTTTGCCCATTCCTGACGTTAGGAATCAACTACGATCACGATCAAGATGTATCACCACGATCAAATTTAGTCAACGCCATCTATGTAGGCATCAGATGTTGCGTGTAGCGTAATTGCTATTGTTAGCTCTATGTACTCAAGCCAGGGAATAAATCCTTACTACGTCAAGACCACACTCGACCTCTATATAAGCCACCACGCTCTCCTCATCATCCCTTCTCTCCTCATCACAACAGCATCCAGCATCCAGCATCCAGCCTCAGCACTACTCTCGCTCCACTCTCGCTGCAAACCATCTTTGAACTCTCGCTTCTTCCAAAGGTCTTCAATTCCACACTCTTATACCGCAATGGCTCGCTTCACCGCCTTCGTTGTCGCCCTTCTCGTCGCTTCCATCTACTCCACTTTGGCTTCCCCTGTTGCGGAGGCACATGACACTCCCCCGGCCCCACGACCATGCCCCCAGTGCACTTCCAGCCCGAACAACTGTGACATCACTGCTCCATGCTCTAACTTCCTTGGCAAGCTCTACTGTGGATGGTAAGTTTCACATGCTCTCGACCTCCAAAGTCAACGGAGTATCATTCGTTACTGACGTCGCAAATTATAGCCGTCCCGGTTTCCGCGCCGCCGGCAACCCCCAGGACACCAACACGCAATGGCGCATTGACACCGTTCCCGGGCACGAGCACCGCGTCTGGGTCGCCCCTGGCGTTGTCTGCAACACTCTTTGCGATGTCCCGTATGGACCTTTCCCTTGCAAGGAGGTTGCTGTTAAGAACCAGTGTGCTGCTTAGAAGCATTTAATGGGAAGTTGGTAGAGGGAAGGTCGATGTAAGTTCCATATGCATCTACTCAATCTGCTTTGCACAGAAGGTATTAATTGTTTGCTACCAGCTGCTTTTGACCTTCCCCTTCCCGCCAGGCAAGGATATATGGGAATAGAGAGGGACGGACGGATATATTCGAAGGAATCAGTCAGCAGTGCGAGTGGTAAACAGGGTAACGGGACTACGCAGGCAATGTTCTTATCATCATTCACTCCTTCACCGCGCGATGATGAGAACCGAAGGAGCATATCTTAATTCTTAATTTCTGGTTGGTTTACAATTGCAGGCTAGTGCACGTTGCTATCAGTTTGCTTGGATTATTTGTTGTTTTCTTTTTTCCTTATTTCGTGTCCTTTCTACAATGGTCTTCGCTGGAACTCGTTTAATGGTAGGATCTTGCAGGAGAGTCTGTACTGTGATGTCGCTTCTTGCTTTCAAGAATCGGCAATAGCGTATTGGGAGTGGCTTTGATGGCGCGCTCTTGGCTGTTTCTTTTGCGCCGCCGCATGATTGAAGGGAGGATGTGATGGATGAGTGCTGACTTCTCTGAGAGGTATATCATAAGGTTTGACGGAGTTGGGGGTTGCTGGATGGTACTTGACATAGGACAGAAATGGAATTTTATTATTTTTCTCTATTCACAATTCGCGATGATTGCTGCTAGGAACTACGTCACTCACAACAGCAAAAAAAACATAACGACGTCGACAAGATTCGAACTTGCGCACGCAGAACGTATTTGATGCCCATAATCAAATGATTATTCGAGTCAAACCCCTTAACCACTCGGGCACGACGTCTTAGTAATTACTACCGAATGCATGTATCACTTTATGTTCCCTCATATCGATCCAAGTATGCAAACACCGATATTGCCCGATGACTGTAACAGAGATGGGTGTGTTCTCTAAGGTGTCTTCCATGTACTTCCATAGTGATCAAGGATTGTGTAAGTAAGTGGCGCCAATTGCTACAGTACTGTGCTAGGTGTGCGTCGCAAAAGCCATTTCATTATGCCCATGTATTAATATGTTATGCTCTATCCGCAAAAGCGCCCCGCTACTCGCTTGTATCGCAAGTGGTGTTATGCACTTGGTTACGAGACAAGCACGTAACTATGCACTATAAAAATGAAGCAAACACTCATCTACTTGCAGCACCTATCATGAAACTCTGCCCCACAGTCCCTATCGCAACGTGCACATACCCACCACACTCTGCTGGCATCATTCCTCTTCATAAACCTCCCACACTCCACACACCTGGTGACGAGGCTATCTAAACACCTCCATTGGCCCCCCGCCAACGCCTGTGCTGCCCCTTCAGGATGATCCGCACCCATGGCCCCCCTTGCCTGCCGCCGCTCAAGCAACACCATCTGATCATTCTCCAGCTTACATAGCCTACACAGGCTTACTTCATAAGTGTCCGCTACGCCGAGTCTCTGCTTGTCGCAGTAGCACAGGTTGGGTGTAGAGACCCACCACCAGCGGTTGTTGTCGTTCATCAACCTGGGCCGCTGGTAGCAGAACTTGCGGCGATAGCATCCTGAGCAGTGGGGCTTGCAGTTGAGGTGGAAGGAGACTTCATTGCCGCGGTGAACGGTTTGAGAGTTGGTACAGTCCTTCCGCAGAAAACATCAGCGCAAAGCCCTCTGCCTATATAGTTTCCTCTGGTTGGGTCGTGAAGCTGCGCAGTGTTGAAATATGTCAGGGGAAGAAAGTCAAACGGTCCACTTACCCTACAAATCTGCTCCCCACAGCTCCAGCATTGACCTTTACTTCCCGCACTACAGGTGACCTTCCTCACCACCTCTATTGCCATCGCCCCTGCTGCCGCCGCCCTCACAGCCCGAGAGACCCTCATCAAGCTCCTGAAATCTGCATGATGGCACCCTTTCGCCAAGGCTGTTGCAATGCCATAACTCCCCAGCATCTTTGACAAATACCCTTCGGCACTTGATACACTTACTGTCTTCTCGCCGTAATTTCGTATCCCAACCTCAGCATCTGCAGCGGCCTGCGAACGTCTTTGTTTTGCAAGCTCTATCTGAGCCTTCTCAGTTTCTATTGCACGCCTTGCATGGCGCCGTCCGGCCCGGCGCTGGGAGGCGCGGGTCCAGTAGCGTAGATAAGAGATGCCCACTTTCACTGGGGTGAAGATCTTTAGGAGGTAATCGATCAATGGCGGCATAAAGATGGAGTGTGACGCAATAAGGCAAGCGATGCCAGAAAGAACGCTATTTATCAGTTCCATTGTCAACCACCTGTCATTTATCCCTCACACCGGCTTTAAGCGCATCAGGTCAACCTACGCCATCGCAATCTCCAATTTCCACACCAACACAAACCCTTTACATATGTTCTCCGCACCTATAGGATCGCCATTCTCTCCGTACAGCAGTTCCCCTAACAAGTCAAAATAGCTTTTCCCATTCCCATGATCTGGTTTCAGCTGTTCAAGATTCCGACACATTCCAAGTGGCCTAGGGAGATATTTTGCCTGCTCTACCGCTGCCAATGCAAGTCCCACCGTGAGCATCAGGTCCACGAGTGCTGAGATGAAGAGATAGATCATGTAGCGATGGGAGGAGCTATGCGCGGTTGAGGCAATGGCACAGGGGACAAAGGTGACAAAGGACCAGGAACCTCCAATGCAGCCCTACGGTCACGTTAACTCGTTAAATCGGCCTCTGAAGCTAGGGACAGAGCATTAATGCGACGAGGGCAGAAAGGGAAGCAGGAAAGTTACAAAGACGGTCCCAAGAACAGTTGCTATCATGAGTTCCGGTGGGTGAGGCGGATGTCGCACGGTGAAATTGCCTCTGATGGATTGTGCATATGCGGCAGAGTTGCCGCCGACCATGAACATGCAGGTGAACGTTGCGAGGCGCATACCGCAAAGCACACCTGCTGTCCAATTGCCCATTGTGAAGTTTTCTACCGAATTTGGGTTTGCTAGCTAATTGCTATTTTGGCAATGGGAGGAGAACGGCCTTGGAAAGGAAATGCCGCGAATTTTTTGAACAACCTTGAGAATAGAGTGATATCAATCAATTTCCTGGAACCAGGAGCTATAGCTGCGGAACTTAATATACAAGTGCGTCTTCCGGTTCCTCTCTTGCTCCTTTAAAGGTTATCTCTGCGACGCAGCGCCCTGCAATGGCGAACAGCTGCACGCGGGGCCACGTGAGAAAAAAAGAAAAAAAAAAAAAAAAGTCTGCGACAAAGCGCAAAATTGGAACACTCTAATCTTTCATCGTATCAATGTAAACTTAAATGCAGTTAAGCTTCAGCCGATCATAATTGTATACAGCCCACCCCCACCCTGATATCATTCTTTGATGTATACACATTCTAGTTCAGTGATTCCATGATTGTTAACAAATCATCCCATGCCACGAACAACCACAATTATTTTTTTTTCCTTTTATTTTTGGTCACGTAACCCCGCATATAGGCTACAAGCCTATTGCAGGTAACCACCATTATTGACAGGGAGCTCTAGCGGCAGGTCAAGTAGTGGTCACTCGTTTTAACAATTACGCCTGGCCACATCAATAAAAGCCTCACAAATAGGTCGCCCTGCAAGGCGGTTAAGAGCTTAGCCACCGAGTTAGGTCCCAAAAGCGACAGAAAATTTAAAGTGATGAAGGATAATGCTTGTGTCCCTCGCCATAGCCCACAGGGCGGCATGCGAGTAATTATATTAAAAAAAAAAAAAAAAAAAAATGCTTGTGTCATCTAGCATGTTGGAATAGAGAACAATGGCAGTGCATGCATCAATGAACGTTAAGCGATTTGTCGAACTGAGGTGGCCATAACGGTCAGATGATCCTCAAAGAAGGCGACCCATGGAACCAGGCTACCTGACGTTCCTTTCTCCGTCGTTAAGGTTTGGGGGTAATAAATACGCATTTCGCAAAGTTGAAGGCACTGATGTGCTGTTGGCGAAGTGAGTAAGCATAAGTGAAGATCCGTGGCTGTGGGTTGTCTTCGGCGTTTGAATCAGTCAGCTAGCCTTTTTGGGTACATCTCCAGTTACAGCCTTCATGTGTTACATTCGGAGCGCCCGGACAGTTAAATCATCTCCTTGCGCCAATGATAATGAAGGACCTCCAACAAGTGACTGTGAAATTGAGACAGCTCCCAAAACTAGTACTCTACATCGCTCAAACATATTTACTTAGTAATCATACATGCAAATGCTCACTCGAGGTCTCCCAAGACCACTAGTAGAAAAACATCCACTATACCTAGCAGCACGTCACTAAAGGACAAGTAATCAGACCTGCAGGTAGTCAGCCAAAATTACATGAATGTTTGCGGCCGCACGAGACTTGCACCTTAGCGCACTCTGAAACTTCAGTCACTACCTATTTTGGTTCATAACTTGTATATAGTCGTGCTCGGTTTTATGACGAGAGCTAGATTTTTTTTTTTTTTTTTTTTTAAAAAAATGTTATTACTCACATGCGCCCGACGGGCTATGGTGAGATTAGTTACATAGGAGAGTGAAAGATGCCATGAGACGAGAAATATTAAGGAAACTGCCCCGCAGTCGTCCCCTGATAGTATGGAAAGTAGCTAAATGAAAAGATAAATGTCACGAAGTCTGCCGTCATTGCGTTCCCGCCCATATCAACATTTCTACCAACGGGTCTCTCTCCTCTTTGGCCTCTGGTGGTCATCTCACCGCCCCCTGGCCCCCTGGCCATCTCTGTTTCCATACCCGGCACGTTTCACAGATGTGTGATGTCGTCTCTTCCCCTTCCCCGCACCATCGGCACTCTGGGCTTTCCGCCTTGTTGATCTTGTGCTTCCAGGCTCTGCGGCCTTTACCCCTTATCAGCCCGGCCAGGCGTCCAGTCAGCCTTTCTAGGCGTTTTTAAAGGTGTGTATTCAAGTCTTAGCCTGTTTCTCTCCTCCGCGTTCTCGTTGCCTTTATGACCTTTCACCCATAGGACCGCCACATCCGGCCACCCCCATTGCGTTCTGTCTTCCCAGGATCTTCTGGCCATGTGTGCTGCTCCTCCTGTGGTCGGTCTGCCTTCGGAGATCGCTTTGAGGTGACGAGAGCTAGAGAGTCTTGCGGTGAGACTAGACAGGATTGCGGATGGAAGGCCGACTCCAAACTGAGCCAGCCAGATGTGCAGGAGCGCCTTGGGGGGAAGGATAATGTGAGGAGGGTTAGATGTGGCAGTGATGGGAGGGGCAATGAAGAGGCAGACAAGGTGGTAAAGCTGGGGATCGTCCATACCAGACCGGGACGATAACGGAGGCAGGAATGCGCATGGTGGCCAAAGCACAGCGAGCTCAGGAAAGGAATGGACTGGGCCTGAACTATAGACCGTTACAGAGCCTGGAGGGTTTGTTACGCACCATGAGAGGCCTGTTGGAAGGAAAAGGCCCGAGGGCATGGAGACACAAAGTTGGTAAAGCAGACAGCCCAGAATGCAGGTGGGGCGGAATGGAGGAGGGGGCGTTGGCACACATTTGGAACAGGTGCAAGGTATGGAGGAGGAGGCCGCCAGGACGGCTAGAGACGATACAGATGCCCCCGGTGTCAAGGGGGGGAAAGAGGACTCCATGATGGAGTTGCTGAGGTGGATAGAGAGATGAACGATCCTCTTATGCTTATGGCTCTAGTTATCTATATCTTTGATTCTCGTCATTGCCCAAAGGGCGGCATACGAGTAATGATATAAAAAAAAAAAAAATATCTTTGATTTCGTTTATCTTATTTTATTTCTTATTTACCTCCTTGTATTTATTCTCGTCATAGCCCATAGGACGGAATA